AATGCAGGGCGAGTAAATCGCTCGGACAACAGAGGTGATGTGAGCACCGAAGCCTGAAGACTCGCTTTCCATTAACAACTAGTTTCGCTGTGAAGTCGCTGAGAAGAAGCGTACACGATCCGTTTCATATCGTTTTCTACTTTATTGTATAAAGGTGCGTTCATCCCGCCTCTCAGGCCGCTTAAAGATTCATTTTGGGGCGGCACACCTGACTGTAAACTGCTGGGATCACCTGACCCTCACCTCGCTGTAACCGCTCCAGAGAAGCAGAGGCGTGCGCACGTGTTAATCTTTGGGCTCTAAACGCCCGTCAAAGCCGATGATGGAAAGCGCCGCTGCGGCTGAACAATAAAAGAAAGAGAAAAGCGCTGCTGGTGAAACACGATTCAGCAGAGGAATAGAACGGCCGACGGGAGCGACCGTCGGGATCCCCGGTGGGCCGTTCGGTCGCTCGTGCCCTCGAACACGCAGCTTTCCAGCGGAAAAGCTCATGACAAGTAGTGCAAAATGTTATTAACGGGAGTTAGTGTGTCTGTGCGTCGGGACGAATATTTCTGCATTAACAGTTTCAATTGTTCTCACAAAAACACAAGAGGCAATTCATTGTTTTCGCCACGATCGCTGTGACATTCTAGACTCGATCGGCTGCGTTAACGAGGTCACCGATGGAGCTAACAAATGCAACGCTTGTTATGAGGAATCCTTCCTCCTCAGCACTTGTCAGTACATGACACATGCTCAGTGTTACTCGATGGATTATTCATGTGAATTCATAAGGGTTTGTTCAATTAGGCAGAGTAGTTTTCTAGATTCAACATTTACCGTGATCCTGTGGTAAATACTTTTGTTTACATTGATGACAGACATGCATCGCCATGGAGACAGGATGACCTAGTGGTCAATAGTAAAACATATATTCACTCAAGCACTGGAGATCAATGCTGATTTTAAGTACTTTTACATGACATTACATGTATTTCTATTTAAGGCAACTTTATGCTTTTACTACTATCTTATTGGCAAATATTGTACATTTTACTCTTAAAAGGACTTAATTCATGTTTTTCACATCCTTCTTGTCCACGTCTGTGACTCATTCAAATTGACTAGACAGAATCAGCTACACCAACATGAACATATTGCTCTAGTAATGAAATGACATCATTGGCTTCAGAATAACTTTCCAAATCCTGCTAATAGTCCATAAAGCTCCTAATGGATCGGCTACTTAGTACATTTGGGACTTGCTCACCGATTAAAACCCAATCGGACGTTTCAGGTCACCAGGCAGAGGTCTGTCAGCTAAACCCAGAATTAGATCCAGGTACCCGGAGTTATTCCTCCTCTTCTGAAGAAGAAGGATGATTTCACAGAATATCACTGGGATTGACTGGGATCAATTGACTTTGATAGTCAAGTGTAATTTGCTTAATCATTTCCAGGCAAGTTCATTTTAATGGCAGACTTTTCTTGTTGTGGAGTATTTTCCCAGTGTATTGATATTGATACTTTCCCTTAAGAGTAAGAAATGACTTGTTCCACCACTGCCTAAGTACTGTATGTGATGCTTGTATGTATTTTGAATGTGCACCAGACAGTCCATTTGGTGCTTGTAACACTTGGATTTATTTATGCAGTTAGCATTTATTTATTTATTATGTTTTATTGTCTTTGAAGGGCTTAATGCACCAGATGTTGGATTTTATGAAGGTTTTGTGCCAAATAGTTATCGGCCGACGCTTTATTTCCACTGGAATTCTTTATTACAGCTGGAGATTACATTTTGGTCTCACAGCAGGACATTACTGTTCTGGGCTTTTCGGCAACTTGTTAAAATGTTAGCTGAGCTAATTCCTCAATGGTACAGTGTCAGCTTTAAACATGTGTCGTCATATTAACCCGTTTACTACTTGAAAGGTTCTTGTGTCCTCATTTTTCCCTCCTCAGTATTATTCACTCTTCACCGTCAATGAAGCAACAGTTCATAATATAATGAACTGATCTGTGGTTACTTTGAAACAGCTTGATCTGGCCTATTAAATCCCACAGCAGAATCAAGTATCAAAGGATATGATTCATTTTTAATTTTGCTTTGCAGCAGCAGACTGAGAGAAAAACAAAAACACAAACAGCCGCTTGGGAGGAGAAGCTGTGGGGGGGCAGTATTCTTATAATGAGAGGTTTGTGTGAGTGTGTGTGTGTGCGTAAGACGGAGTGTGCAGATGTGTGCATGCGTGTTTGGGGCAATACATCACTGCACTGCTGCCTGTTGTGATTTCCTGACCTACAGGGTTTCAGCGCATTACCACCTTAACAGCTTTGTGACTAGATTTATTCGTTGAGTGCACACAGGGCACATTCACAAACACACAAACGCACACATAACACACTTACATAAGTTTACACACAGAGGCACAACACTCTCTCGCTCATATGTGAGTGAGTCTCTCGCATTATAATTCATTTAAAAAAAAGAGAATTTAACTGGTGAGAGACAGAAAGTGGCCTCACCGTGTTTGTGTGTATAAGGAGGACACAGAGTCTCTATCCAAAAATGCAACTTCATTTTTCCTAATTGGGGTCTCTAACAGAATTCCATTTACGGGATAATCTACATTTCGGTGAGAACAGTCTGCGGTTTCTGCTTCCGATCCTTTTTTTTCTTGCAACACCATCTGATGTCCTTCTTGTCTCGGTGCTCAGGACTCATCAGCTTGTCTTTTGTAACCTTCTCCTTTCTGCACGCTCTAGTGGACTTTAACAGGCTCCGGTTCCTCCCCCCCACCGCCGTTATCTTTGTCCTCGGTGTCATTGTTTTCCCAACATGGCCTTCTCAACTGGACCGTATTTTCTGTTCTTTTAGAAGAGGTTTTCTCCTCAGAGTGTCAGACTGTTATTTATGATGTGCTTTTTGACCCCGATGAAGGCTACTGTGCAAAAAGCCTTGATCTGACAATACAGTTGTTCTTTATAGTACAACAGTGTGTCAGAATTTCAGCCAATACTTGAAAAATAACATGCATGATTGTTACTCAACCAAAAGCTTGATTTTAAGGAATGGAATTTCAATCAGCTTATTTTCTTAAGGGAAAAAGCTGTTTCCATCCCGGAAGGTCATGGTGAACAGTCGCCCGCTCCAGGAAGCTTCAGCAACATCTGTCCTGCTGATTGGAGGCATTCACGTGTCACCTCTGAGGAAGATGCTGAATATATATTTTTTGACAGACAGTCAAACGGATTCATAAAATATCTCACAAACAATCCCTTCTTTCAAGTACAGAGCGCCGCACGTAGTTGTTTGATTCAAGAGATGCCAGCCTCCATTGTGTTAAGGGGGGCTCAGTGAAGTAAAACACTAATGGGCGCTGATATCAACCACTGTCCTCCTCTTCCTCCTCCTCCTTTTCCCTTTGTCATCCTCCCCTGGAAGGTTGAGAGGAGGTCTGGTGATGACAGGGTTTTAAAGGAGCCCCCGTGGCCCGACTCTTAACACTCGATTGGGCGGCTCGGTCACCCCAAGCACACACTCCTTTTCTCCATTTCTTCCTCCCCCTCCCCCACATCCAACACACAAACAAACACAAACACACACACCAGCCCCTGTTGTCTACACTAGAATTAGCCGTTGGGTGCACTCCAGTCAGATCCGCTCAATATTCCACCCTTCCAAAAAAACACCCTCTCGCATCTCATTGTTCACTGGAGGCCACACATTGCCACAGTCATAGTTGTGTCACAGCAATCAATCACCCATCAATGTGACACCGCTACACTGATACAGAGAAAACACCACACAACCGCACGGCAGATTTCCCCAAACTGCTGCCACACTATTTGCTCACATTATTCCATAGGAATCTATAGACTAATGTCTTTGCATGACCTCCAGACGGTGCTCTGTCTCTCTCTCTCTTCTCCATCCCTCCCTCACGGCTGCATAAAGACATCACACCTTTATTATCACCTCTTTGTGATTCAGTCCCTGGATTCATTAGCCGGCTGGTGACCTCTTCACACATATGCAGAAACACAAGGGCCGAGGCCCAGATGTCCAGTCACACATGCAGGGACTTACTAACGTGCAACATACAGATGAGATTAACTCATATGCAACTGACGGTGATGCGTCACTCTTTGTTCAACTTTGTTCATTAACTACTGTACCTTTACTTATCGCGTTCCAGTTGTATTAAAATAATGCGGCAGCTTTTCATCATCTTACTGGGAGTTTAGCGCAGAGTGAATATCTGTTTTGGTCCCTGGATCAGCGTTGTCCGATGTCCGATAGTTATTGAATTTGTAGGATGATTTTGCCCTCTTTCAGTGAGGCCCAAAAAGGCCGTCGTGTGTAATAATTTGACAGCTGTGCGATGCTTACAATTGATGGTTGGTTTTAGTCTCAAAGCGTCTCATTGGAGAAGCTTGGTGCAGAGGCTGTACTAAAAGAGGTGTCAGTGAATAGCTCCTCAGGTAGGCTGTCTGCTAGCGACAACACATTATCTCACTTCCTTTGTCCATTTCTCCCGTTGGCTAATAACTAATCGCATTGCTTTGTCCAGAAGTAATATGTTACACGCACACTGTAGCTCGACCAGAGAGAATTCACCAGGTTACTTTTGCTGGACCACTGAAAGCCAATCAGCTAGGTAGCCCGTTGGTGAAGTTCCCGGTTCCACTTATGCCCTGTCCAATCCTCAAGATCTGTGGGTAATGGGGCCTTTACTCCACCGTGCATGGGTGACCAATGATACCAGGTGCTACCTCAAAATTGTATCCCTTCATCCCAACAATGGGAAGCTGGAAAATATGAATATATTGAGCAATTATGCAAAATAAAATATGATTCTAGAAATGTAAAAGATATGTGTTTGTATTGAGTGAATATAAACATTCAGAAATTTACAAAAATTGAAAGCTTATCACACGTATTTATAAATGAGCTGATTGACAGTTTGCCCTCCTAACAATGCCACATCTGTCATCTACACATGAAGACATACCTTGAGTTGGTCATGTCCGTCTGTCCTCCCTGACTCTTCTCCAGGCCGAGCTTGGTGAAAATCCCGACCAACACCATGATAGCCACCACGCCGCAGATAATGTACACAATCATGTGGGTCCGATCCTTGTCCGGTTCCCCTTGGATCTCTGTGACGGGTATGGCCGGCTTCCCGGTGTTTGCCCATACCGGTGTGTCGTAGTTAGAACAGGACGTCTGGTCCAAACTGTGGATTTTGAACTGACAGCAGAAGCGGTAGAAGCAGGAGCCACAGCAGAACAGGTAGATACCCACGTTACAGTTGAAAGGAGGGTCCCACTGGCCCATGACGTCATAGTAACCCCAGCAACGGTTACCATTCATGGGGGCCGTTTTGTCCTCCGCGTCCGGTGTGGTCGGGGTAGCCAGCGCGGCCTCTGGTATTATGGAAGGTTCTGTCGTCTGGTTGTCGGCAGGAACCTGGGCGGAAGCCTGACCTGACGGCCAAGAGTTGAGTCCACCCAGCGAAGTCAAACCCAGCAGGAGGGCCAGCGAGAAGCTAACCAAGAGCGGATGCACGGATGCGGCCATCTTGGACTTGCTTCAGTAGCTTGTGGTTGCTCAATGCCGAACTGTAAAGCTTCTTGATTAAAAAATAATTCCAATCTCCAAATTATAGTCACTGAATGAAAATGTGAGATTTTTCAGTATAAGAAACCATTAAAGCAATTTCTATCTCACATCTCAACAACAGTTCACTGGCTGTTTACAGTAAGTGTGTGTTAATCAAAGCCAAAAAATTATCCAAAATTCAGGAAACGTCACCTTTCACAAAGCCATACGTCATCAGCAGGGGCGCTAGTAGTGAAATCCAAATCCGGAAGGTTTGGAGGGAATCTTGTTTGGGGCTTATTACCCGTTTCCTGCACTAAACTCCACCGCTGGAGAGGTTGAATAATCCGCGAGAAGTGAGAACTCCTCGTTCCTGACGGCGACTGCAGGCGGATTCCTTCTCAAACTAACGGGCTCCCAACATGAAAGGCTTTTTCCTCTGGAGACGGAATCCTATTCCTGAGTGGATAACAACTGTGATGCTTAACGCTGGAGTCAAATCACTTCTGATGTCCTGGAAATACTCTGGAGGGAAGCGCGGGCTTTTCCTCTTTAATTGTCGGTGCCTCTCGGAGCTTAACTCGCGTCTATCATTCCCCTACTTTCAATGTCACTGTTCAAAGGGAGCTTTTTTATCTTTGTGGTGGGCATCTTTTTTGGCTGCCACCTCGCTCCACTCTAGTAAACGTTGCTCCCTCCTCCAGATGTGCAGATGCACGCTTTTTTGAGCTTTTATTTTGTAGAGGTCGCGCGGGGTATTTCCTTTCCTATTTTCTCGCCAAGGACCCAACAGGTAACGACAGCTGAGCGGTGTTCTTTAAAGCATAGCTGCGGGCTCGCGTCAAGCTGAGATCCTCTGATGATTACGGTCCAAAAAGCTTTTGCACCTGAGGTGTGTTTTCTCACACACAGACGCACAAACTGCACGCATACACACGCTCTCTCTCTCTCTCTCTCTCTCTCTCTCTCTCTCTCTCTCTCTCTCTCTCTCTCTCTCTCTCTCTCGCACACACACACACACACGCTTTCACAAAGGGGTGGAGTCCCCGTGGTGACAGTGCTCTGTCAGTGTCAGTCTGTCACACAGAATGAGTCCAAAGGCTTTTTGTCCTCGCCGCGTGCGGGGCTCCTGTTGCTGCTGCTGCTGCTGCGCGCGCGCGCGCGCCACTGGGACCCCTCCTCTGCGCGGAGATCAGGGTCTCTCACAGACCCGGGACACCAGCCGGGCGCTGAGAGTAAAAAGCGAGAGGGGGGGGGGGTCTGATGTTGTGAAAGTGAACCTCTGATCCAAGTGTTTTAGGGTCGCTGCATCCACGGAGAAGCTGTAGAGAGAGACAGATGCTGGGATGGCGCAATGGTTCGTGGATTGGATCGTTTTGTCTCCCTTTCCTTTGATTTTGCTTTTGGCTCAGTTGGGTTTTTTTTTGTTTGTTTACTCTCTGATCATAATCTCCCTCCAAGCTGCGAGTGATAATCCTGCATTTTTCTCTCTTTCTCCCTCACAACTTACCTCCCCTCCCCTTTTTTGGTTTTTGTCGTTGCTGGGGAAATACCAGCGTGGGGTCAGAGAGCCCCCCGGACTGCCCTCTGCACTTTCAGTGTCGCACTTGTGAACGCCCCGCCGGAGTGACGCTCCCGCGGCCCCGTCGGAAGACAGAGACAAGTGGAGACGCGACGGCCAAACAGCCGTGTGGCAACGAAAAAATATCCTGTTTTCAAAAGAAGCCCGCTTAGAAATGTAGGTCTGCCTGCAGCAGCAGACGCTCTTTGTTGCTCAACAACTCAGTTGCCTATTTTCAAAAATGTTCCGTTTGCATCAATGTGTTTTTTGTCCCCTTCCACCCCCAACTCTGAGCAAAAAACCGACAAAAAAAAATAATCTCAAAGCATTAATATGCAACAGTTTTTAGGCATTTCCCAATTTCTCATGCAATGGATTTTTTTCTATCGATTCAGTCCTTGTCCGGCTTCAGCTTCTTTGAAAACAGTCATAATTTGATATATATGTATAGGAATTTTATATATATATCATATGTATGTGTTTTCACTGGTGCTCTGCTTGTGGGATGCTCCAAACAGACGTGGGACGAGAAAGGAGCAGCAATAAAATGCTTCCTTTTTTGTTGTTGTTTTTTTATTCCATCCTCTCCCTTTGTTGTTGCTTCTTCGTCAGCGTGTATTCCTTGTGTCCTCGCCGCCTCGGTCCGCTCGGTGCGTCTTTATCCCGTCCGCTGGTGATATTCGTGCTGCTGCTCTCTGCCAGGACTGGATGACAATGTACACACACGCTCTTTCTCTCACTCCTCCCTCTCCAACTCACTCCTCCCCTCCCTCCCTCGCTCTCTCTCTCTCTTTCCCTCTCACACACACACACACACATATGTCTTTGTGGGTAAATGAGCTCAGCTCGAGCCTGCTGACTCTCCCGTTCGCTCTCCTCCTCTGTCTTTCATCATGTGTCACTGTGCACTTTTCTCACAGTTTTGTCCCACGTTTTTTTGGTTCCCGACTATTAAACACATGAGTTCCTCCATTTCTGGCATCTGATCTTTCTTTATCCGTTCATGTCACTTACCTGGTTTCTGTCCAACCTTCTTTTAGTTTGCATGTGTGATGCATATTTTTGTGTGTATCTTCGTGTGTGTGTGTGTGTGTGTGTGTGTGTGTGTGTGTGTGTGTGTGTGTGTGTGTGTGTGTGTGTGTGTGTGTGTGTGTGTCAGCGTGTAGCATTTGTGTGTTCTGATACCTTTGCACAGTCTTTGTGGGAGCGTGCATGGAACGCGCCTCGTGCTGCAGTCTGTAAGGGCTGATTTAGCGAAGGAGAGAGAGAGGAAAAAAGGGGGTAGGGGAGGGGGATGGAGGGTGAGAAACAGGGAAGGAGGAAGTGAGAGTGATATAAACAGAGAGGAAGGGGGGGAGGCAGGAAGAGAGGGAGGGGAGCAGAGCTGCTGCCAAACAGAGGGCTTGACAGAGAGGAGCTGGGGAAGGAAAGAGGAGAGGAATTATCGCAGGGAAGGGAGGAGGATTAAAAAACACGGGGAAAGCGACTGGAATAGGAAGTGACAGAGGAGTAGTGGGAGAAAGAGAAGGGAGAGGAAGAGGAGGCAGACAGGTAGGAGGCGGGGAAAAAAACATTATCTTGAGGGAAAGCGACCCGGATAGAAAGAGAGAGGGAATCATTTTCAGTCAACGCTCCAGAAAATTCCCGGGAAATCAACTGAAGAGAAAGATGGGGAAGCAAATGTTATGAATTTTGAATAATCCCCCATAATATTTTTGAAGGTGAACTAGATTTGAAGATGCAGACAAAGCAGTGCCCGTGGGTCTGACAGTAAACCGAGAGGGGGGAAAAAGTACCAAAGAAAATGCTGCTTAATATTTTATTCTGGTTTTAAGTGGCGAACATTATATTCATCTTACATATTCATTCTTTCAAACTTATTTTTTTGCATAATAGCTCGAGGGCTTTCCTTTTATTTCCCTGCAACACTTTGCTTTTTATCTTTTTTGACACACAATGTCCGGCGATTCACGCATTTGAGCCACTCTCTCTTTTTGTTGCTGTGTTTGCTGCGAGTACCCCCGGCTCATCTCCCCTTGCTGTTTGTACTCCATCCAACCCTCTCAGCCTACATTTGCTTAAAATCATTGGCTGAGTCCATCAGGAGTTGTGTCAAGAAATGCACGTACACACTTGGAAAGTGCACACAAACATTCCATGCCAACACGCCGCCGTGACTTCACACTCGGTGATGAGCCACAAATCAGCTAATCCTTCTCCTTCCGGCGGTCTGACATTAAAGTGTCCTCAGCACATTTCCCCTAATGGAAAGCAGGTCATTAATTAAGAGGTTGAAAACAACAAGTTGTGGTGAATAAAGACTGGTTCACCACCATCTGAAAAAGGCAGGACGCCGCCCGTTAATTCTCCGAGAAAGCAGCGAGACGGGGGGAGCAAAGGGTGTTGGCTGAAAATCAAGAGGGAGGAGATGGATGGAGAGGAGGAATCCTGGGGGAGAGATGGAGGGCAGAGAGCGCAGATTGATGATCGGTCTTAAATTCTCTCTCTCCCGCTGTCTAATAGCACATGTTCTCCATTGTATTCTTTGAACATGTACTATTCTTACAGGTGTAAATACTCAACAATTAAACAAAACTTGTTTCTTGTTAATGGATTTGTGGTTTGGGGGAGTCAGCAGACGTTACTGCAAAGATTGTAGTATTTGTTTAAAGTCACAAAATATATATTTTGATACTTTCACTTCTGTTTAAAACAAGGTGCCTGTACGCAGTACATTTTCATACTCTGCTCTAAATAATTTATTTCGACTCCATGTGTCACCTCTGCTCTTTCCCTGTTACTCGTCTCCTTGCTTTTGATCCATGTCCTTCTTTTCTCCTCTACTTTCGTCTCATCTTCACCTCCCCTCATTCATTAAATCTTAAACTTGAGGATGAGAATGTTCATGTTGGGTCTCCCTCAAATTCAACCTCAATCTGCCTCTTAATCTTACTCAGCCGCCGCCTCCATTGCCACTCAAACCTTTCCCCTCTCTACCTTCCCTTTCTCTGTTTTATCAGTCTCTCACCATCTCGCCACGCTCTCATCTAACTGTCTGCCATTGTCTCTCAAATGCCAGTGTAGGTGTAGTGCCACGCCATTCCTGTCAGTCCCACTCTGTTTGTCTCGCTCTGTGTCACTTCCGCTCATCACTCCAGTCCTCCGTGACCGTCCCTCAGTGTAGATTAGTTCAGCGTGGAGATCAGCACGAAGAATTGATTTATGGGACTGTTGAGTTATGGGAAATTCTGGGTCATTTTCTCATAGATCTACATACGGGAATCCGGGACAATGCAAGTTAATGGCAGTTTAGCATTGGCTTCCCTTTTTTTAGAATCAGAGGATTCTGCTTGGCTGTAGCTTCATATTTAAGTTTTTTACAGTGGTATCAAACCTCTTTGTTAATTAATTACTTACTAAATAAGGTCACTGAAGGTTACGTTACAAAGGGTTTTCTGCCTGCTCTTTACATCTTGGGTAGGAATTAACTGACAATGACTGGCAGTGTGGAATACAGATTTTTGTCTAATATTATCTAGAAAGGTTAAAGTTAAAACAACTGAAAGGTCATTGAAAGTAACGTCGTCGCATTGGATGTTTAAAGCTGCTCCGCGGCTCTCATTATTGCAGCTCTCTTAAAAATAAAGGTCTAATTTGCAGATGGATCCCTCCCTCCCCATGTGGGCCAGCTGGGTCTAATTCCCATCTGTGGCACTTTTTGTACTGCGATCCCTCTTTGTCTGCAACCCTCTCAGCTTTCCCTCTTTTTCCATCAAAGGAAAAGCACACAAAGATCTCAACCTGTCTGTTCCTTGTGTCAGAGAGACACAAGTCCTGCAGTGAAAGAAGAGCTCTGCTCTAACCTTTCTGTGAGACAATGTGGGTCAGCCGGATATAAGGAGAAAACAACCAATAGGGTTTGTATTTTATTATCTAACGCGTAACCTTTGAGTGATCCAGCATAATGTTTTGCCTGTATTTTAATATTATGTCACTCTTCTTCCTTTTCCTTTGTATTTTACTGGACTGAGAAAGGGTACCACTACATGCCGTTCCATGGGCGGATCAATGACCCCGCTGCTAATGTATTTAAAGTATTGATGATCCTTGCTATCCATTTGTCAACCAGTCTATCCACTCCTGTCAGTCAGCCATCCAAGCAGCCATTTAGTTTGATGATGGCCATGTCTATCAGCCAAAATGTCACCTTAACCCATCAGCAACGTTGGCAAACTGTCAACGGGCCTGACGACGCCGCATGATGATCCATTCATTATCCATCACACCCCCAAAGAAAGTTGCTCCTTGTCATCATCTGCAGTATTCTACTCTCACTTCTCTGATGTCCGTCATGGGAAAAGTCATCAGTTTGTATGTGTTGGCCCAGTTTATAAGTGTTGGCCCAACACATGCTGGCACCGCTCTTTCCCCCATGCAACCATGCACAGGATAAGAGAGCATAGATGGATGGATAAAAATCATTCAAGTCAGCCAAGAGCTGCCAATTAGCTAACCATCGCACCGAGAGGCAACTAGTTGAGTAGCCAGCCAGCAATAGAATACCAATAGAAGATGCCAATAGAAGATTATCCGACTGTGCACCAGCGGGAGGTCCACTTCAATTTTCACTGTCAGCCTGCATTTCATGCTAATGTGGTCTTGGTCCCCTGCAAAGCCGTTCGCTGTGTGTCTGCGTGTGTGTGTCAACAGCAACAGCCGCAGTAACCCAATCAGCCCTTCAGAGAGGAGATCGGCCGTCCGAAAGAGGAGGGATGTAGAAAGGTCCTGTGTGAAACAGGAGAAAGGTCAGCTAAAAGGTGAGCAAAGAACCATGGAGGTGGAACAATTAGACAGGAAAAGAGATGAAGGACAGAGCAAAATAATGGCTGGACGGATTGTGATGCAGACGGCCGCTGGCAAGAGATGTGTAAAAGTCCCCCAACATCTGTCAAGAGAACAGCAGGACACCCAGACTAAAAACATTTGTCGAATTCTGTGTCCCTTTGTTGTCATTTGGGCTGTACTTGTTGTCATTCTGCACCTCTTAATAATGTGTTTTAAATCTAATCCTTGTGTCCTGGTGTCCTTTCCAACAATAAAAATGAAGGTACACCTGAATGTTGCCTTCCCACTGACGCTCTGACCCAGGAGCCTCCTGACCTTCTCACCTCCAGGCCTGTGCTTTAAAGGCTCGCTGAATAATCTGTGATGTCAGGATACGTTAAGAAGAAACCAATGGAGCAAATGATCAAATCCAAACAGAAAATGAGAGTTGGATAGAGTTGCAATAAGGAGACCTCATTAATGCAGAGACACTAACTTGCCCTCACTCGCTCCTTCTCTCTTCTTCTCCTAAAGTTTTGTGACACAAAGCGGATTTGTAAAATCCAGAAGGCTCTTATTGCAGCTCAGTGATCGGCGCATGCATGCGCATACACGGGAGTGTAAAGCCTTTGAATTTACATGTTTCATAGCTTTACAGCTTACGATCAATAATTCACACATGTTTAAGCACATGTAGTATTCCATTATTCATCTTTGGTTCATATAAAGTCATCCATGCAGGCACCGCTGTAACGTATAACGTGGCTCTGCTTGTGTGTGCGCGGTTTGAATTTCTGGATTTCAGTGGATTATCCCATTTTACGGTTGATGTTTGTATCATTGAAAACTGCTAGAAAACTTGCAGATGACTAATATTTGGTCCAGTCCGCTAATGTCATCACTGTATAGAGTTTATCTAACTCTACATTGGTCGTCTTGTGGTACCGTTCGAGCAGAAAAGCACACCTAGCGGTAGAAATGATGACATGTGGGAATATGACGAGCAATGGAATTAAAGTGTCTTTTTAGATATTATATAATCATGTTAGAATCATTTCTTGCATGTGTGCGGTGAAAAGCTCCAGCTGGCCGAGGCGTTCTGGAGAGATGGACCCTACAGTACTCACAGAAGCGCTCACATGCCTGAAAGAACCCAGGCGCACCACCACGTTTTTGTGAAGGACTAAAAACTCAAGAAAATTCCATATTCTTTGCAGTGTGTAAAACGTGACGTATATTGGAAAGCAAATGTCCTCTGGGAGGATATTTTTCCTGATCTAATCAAAACTGTTTATGCTGAGACGGCAGTATCAGGCGAGCCTTTCTCTAATTTGACTCGTTAAACTACTTCAAAGGAAAAGTTAGGTCAAGGAGGAGGGTGGCAAGGCCCGAGTTACTGAATCTTTCTTTTTTTCTTGTAGAAGACTGAAACTATGAGAATGTTTAATGGTTGATTTTATAGCCTGAATACTGAAATATTTAAAAAAAAATCCACCAAAATTATTCATTTTATCCATTCAAATATTTATCCAGAGAAGTCTGCCGTTCATAATTAAGTTAGACAGTCCTGATTTAGTCCCCACATGTGTGTAATTACCACATTTTGGACTCCTAATTTGAGCAACGAGCATCAGGAACGGAAGCATGTCTGTTTAGAGCATTTCTGTAGTCTCCTGTTTAACACAGTCAGCTACTCTTTTTATTGTTTTTTTATTGGCTTAAAAGCGCTTACCCGAGATTCTCCGGTAGTTATCAGTAGTAGTCCTTGCGTACCGAGCTGAGAACAGATCGGGTCCAGTCTACATTCAGGACACTGTCAAACCTCACGTCCCTCCCCGCCCACTCTGTCCTGCAGATTCTTTATTCTTGTTGTAGTGGGTCTTTATTTTATTTATTTTATTTTATTTATTTATAGATTTATTAGAACCACAAGGGATTTTGTAGTCCCAGTGAATCCCTGATGTTGATCCCATACTGTACCTTTTCCCCCCCTTATAGATCTGGAGTGAAACCACCTCGGGTCTAACTGAGTTAAACTCCTACATGCTCCAACCTCCTTTCCTTTTTGCACATTCCAAACTTGTTTGCCCGCAGAGCTCGCTTTGCACAAAAGGAAGGAAGAACGGCAGAAAGGTTTTATTGGCTCTCATCAAAGCCTGCTGCAGTGACCTCATTATACCTTTCAGAACTTCAAAGCAGCACTGAAATGGATTCATCACAAAATCTGTCTCCACCAACCATAAACAATCTAAATCAAAATGAGGTTCAGTAGCTACAGAGAAAATAGTTTTTGTTGAAGGAGGAAAATAAATGTTCTCCACTATTAGATTTGATTTAATGTCATTGACTCTGCACAATATCAATCTAAACTAAATCACTGAGATCCACATTTGTCACTCCACTATTGCACATCAATTGAAAATGTTCCATAACCTCTCAAACATGGTCTTTTTCACTTTCAACATTTAATAATTAAACTAGGACATTTCAAGAATAACTATGAGCACGGAAGCATTGCTCAATGCACCCGAGTCACTGAACCTCCACTCAGTGTCTGCACCTGTCCTGATAGATTTCATCCTCACAGCGTGATAATACTTGTCCTAAAGCACCAGCCACAAAAGTACAGCTAAGGCTGAATGTTGATGGTTTTGCAAGTGTATGTGCCCACTTAGTCTTGTACCATTACTTGATGAAGGCACTAAATGAAAAGGAAATGGATCAACTAACGTATTACAATCCATCCAGACGGGGTCATCTACAACAAATTCCATGGTAAACAATTTCACCAAAATGCAGAAATGTCATTGAAGTTAGTAGGATTGATCTAAAAAATATATATATGACAGTCTGGATCAAAGTGGACAGAGATCTACATCCGTAGAGCTGCTCCAGAAGCAAAGCCATCCAGCATCTCAATTTTTGTGTTTGACAAAAGATTGTTTAATTATTTACTTTTATCGCACCAAACACCAACAAGATTTTTGTTTTAAGGAAGAGGTTTATCGGCGGTGAAATTAAAACCGCACCCAAGACTCAGGATGGGAAAAACAAAGGGATTTTATTCACAAGGATCTGTATTTGTGTCAGTTAAAAGCTGGTTGTGAAATTTGGTTTGCATTTATATCATCTTGTCTTTTTCTTAGCTGAGCTGGTTTCAGGTTTCTGACATCTCCCACTGGATTTTGTTCCACACAAGCCAAAAAAGGGAGCAAACACTGAAATGTCATTTCCATCAGAACAGTCATTCGAAATTCATTGCATTCAAGATTACGTGGACTAAAGGAGTGTTTGAACAGACTAGGATGGTCACTCAAAGAATCTGAAAAGCTCTCCGAAGAAGAAAAGAATACACATCCTTGTTTCACCTGCTACCGACGTAAACGTACTGCTCCGTCCTTTCCAGGCCGTAGAAATAGATTCATATAATAGGATACAACACAGCGCTCTGAAGTAGGGGTTACAATTGGCGACCATGTTGAGAAATGGCGAAATGCGTTTTGGGGGGTTTCGGTTGCCATTTGATATCATTATTTAAACATGAAAAGGAGGAGAATCAACAACAAGTCTTTGATTCTTTCGTGTCATGTTTTATAAAAATATAAGATGACTGAACATATCAAGCGTACAAGTTCTGGCCACCAAAAGCTTAATATAGCTTTAAATGAAACGGTTTAGAATAAAACATGCCTTAAAGATTTGATGAGACTTCGATGTACTTAACACTTCTTCCAACACCAAATCTCGTTTTGTAATCACACATGCCTTCAGTGTTCACGCTCACACACAGAAGCTCTCCCACCACATGATATTTCTATTTTCAGCATATGTAGGTGTGTGGATGCTGATACACATCTGCTTTTACACACGAGCACTCGCACCCACAAACACCCCTCAGTCATACTACCATCAATGACCCTTACAAGGCCATTGTGATGTCCGACAGAGTGAAACCGACGAGGACGCACACACGCACACACACACACACACTCTACTGAAGTAAAAGGTTTATCTCTGCTGTAATCAATAGTGTAAGACATCTGGTATTATCTTTGTAGTTGTTAGCTTAATCGCATCATAGCCTGAGAGAAGTGCAGCCCAATTATTTGTCATAATAATCACCGTCATAATTGTTTCTGATGTCAGTTGATGGATATTTAAAGCACATTGAAGCACTATGCTGATCATCTGGAAGATCATTTAGTTTGACCTTCAGACCCAAGATCTGGTGCCTGGGCTGTAAAACAAGCTATGTCAATGTTGTGCATCATGCTGCTCGGATTATAGAGGTGGGAAGATTCATTTGTGCATTTTGGTTCATTAAAGGCTGTTTTTAACTGGATTATTGGACACAATATTTGTTAGAGCCAGTTGTGTGGAGTTAAGTCAAAATGAATGTTTGAGTAGGGATTGTGTGGATTTATATCATGGAATATCAAAGCAGTGGATTCGTTACCCAACTCAAGTTAAAGTAGTAAAGTTAATGTCAAGTTACATTTGATACTTGCATGTAAAAGTACTCATTATGCATACTGCAAATTACTATTTAACCTAAATAATGTACTGCGGTAAACAATACAGGTGAGATAGACACATTATGTTTGTTCAAAACATTTGTTGACTTGTTGATTCCAGGAGAGTTTAGAGCCGGCCCGTGAATCAAAGACTGAGTAGAAGTCTGCATGAAATGGAATGAAGGTATAAGAGCAAGACGCTGCTTTGTACTGTATTCAAATGATGTCATCTCTGCCCGGAAGTGTCCCTGCAACATCGACCTATGAAAAAAAAAAAAGTATAAATGCCCTTTAAATGGCCTTTAGCGTCAGATAAAAGGTACGTTCATTGAAATGGTTTGTAATGCCAGCAGTAAGCACACATCAGGGCAACAAAGCATTTAGAACCTCTGATCTTCTTCCTTTGTAAAATGCACAATGTGCTTTGCTGACAGTCCGCCACGGGTCAATTTGCTGTGGTAAAAACCCCTCAGGCAGCTATTAGCGCAGGTTTAGAGTTCCCCGGGCCACCGCATGTGTGTGTGTTCTGCGAGGAGCTCTGAGGCTGCTCGTTATGTATCAATACGTTGACTAAATGGAAGACTAAATGAGGTCGTTTCAATTATCCTAAATGATACCCACTTGTAATTGGCTATTATGAAATCAATGCTATTCTAGGAGACTTCATAAATGTCCAATATGACTTCATATGAGGTGGCACCGTTATGCACATTTAGCTCCTGTGGGGATATGGGGGTGGATCGTCTCAGGGCTCATTCATTGATACGTAACACATTTACACGATAGAGTTAATTCTTGTTGCATCCCCATGCAGCGGCCTTCAAAACAAAACAGCAGCCACACATCCAGGGGCCGTCCTTTCTTCCTCCAGTTCAACCACAGTGCACCGCTTTGACACAATTCCAAGCAAGATATGCAGAGATGAAGCCTGACAAAATGATTACAGGCATAAAAGTGAACCACATTATGGAACGCTGAAAGTTGTGAGTCATCGAAAGACGTTTCCTTCTGGCGTCAATGTATTTTTGAGGACAGCGATTAGCAGCATGTTCCATCGTTATGGAAAAATAACAAAAAAAATGCATTATTCCGGAAGCCATTTGCAACGTACGCAGCCGTTGATCGTCTGTGTGGGAGACGAGAGGTTGAATGCTATCAGCCGAATGTGCTGCTGGGATTTATAGAGTGATTATGTTTCACATCCTGCTAACAATCCCCCTGTTGGTGAAACCATTTAAAAAAAGGTACAAATAGCAAGATGCTTCGCTGTTAGCTGGAGGCATTTAACACAATAATAGCATCAGCTGTCAGCTGTGAAGGCACTGCGGGGAGAGCGCGAGCGTTCAGCGTGTTGGGTGAGTGGTTGAATTTAAGGGAGGCGAAAAACATAAAGATGGAGAAAGCGAAGAGGAGAGGAGCTGAGGGACAGGAGGACTGGGTGAAAAGAAGGTGCCTTTCAGTTTAATTAGTGGTGGCAAATTAATTAGCAGCAGGATGTGAATTAATTAGTGTTCCAGAAGC